GAGCATGCATTGTGGACACCGCAACAGTGGACTTGTGTGATGTTTTCCGACGAGTCCAGGTTTAGCTTGCAGTCTGATTCTCGCCGGACTTTCATATGGAGAGCTCCAGTTACCCGTCACCACCAAGAAAACATCATTGAACGACGCCGTTACGGTGGTGCAGGAGTGCTCGTTTGTGGTGGAATTATTCTGGGTTCCAGAACTGACCTGCATGTTCAAATTGGAACCATGACAAGCCAAATCGATCGGGACGTTATTCTGGAACAACATGTATGTTTGTTTCGGGGAGCCATGGGCGCAAAATTTGTGTTTATGGATGACAACGCCCATCCTCACCGTGCAAACATCGTAAGTGAATGCCTTCAATCGGAGGATATCACCCGTATGGACTGGCCAGCATTCTCACCGGACTTGAATCCAGTAGAGCACGTGTGGGATATGCTTGGCCGACGAGTTGCAGCCCGTCAATCTCCTCCTACATGTCTACCGGAACTTCGGAGAGCATTGCTTTTTGAGTGGTGTAATATTCCCCCAAGATCAGATCAATAATTTGATACTCAGTATGCCTAGGCGTTGTACGGACTGTATTGCATCGTCTGGGAGACATACAATGTATTAACAATCATACCAACCATGTAATATTGGTTTTTTGTAAATAGGGGTTTTTTTTTAATTTGCTCCAGGGAGAAAAATCGCTAATTTTTTTAATAATATCAAACATATAGCATCTTTTTTTGCTCTTTACCTTTTGTTTCATAAATAAGCTTTACAAATAAGTCAAATTTGTTTTGCTTCTAACTCTTCCTTTGCCTGATTTTGCATTATCCTTAATTTATGGACATGAGTGTATATTGAATTTAGATACTAAGTTCGATCGTCATATCTTGATGCTATTAGTTTTTTAGTCAAGTTCCCTTGCTGCTTAAGCGTGAACCTATTTTTCGCAAAACATTCCAAAGTATATTCCAGAGCACATCGCGAACTTTTAACATTTAACGAAATCTATTTGCTTTTTTAAAGACAAGTTTTAATAGCTTTGTTGAGCATTAAGTTCTTACGCCTTAATGTTTCCTGTAAAAACTATTTCAGTTAAAAAAATTATCAACTAAATAGCGCATCGCAGTAATGAAAGATCTACTAAAATAATGTTATTCACAATTTTAACAGAATTAACTTTTTTAAAAGAAACGACAAAAATAAATTGAAAGTTAAATTGCTAGTTTGCTTTTATTTTTGTACAAATTGTAATACCTTTAGAAAGAAATTCATAATTGTCTTCAATTAAAAATTTGGATCTGACTATTACTTTTAAAGAACTCATAAAAATATGGGGTGCCTAATACTTAAAGCCAAAGTTGTATGTGTATAAATTGGTTATTATGCAGCACCGTGACGCACAAATACAGATTAAAACATGAATATGAGCATATGTGGCATAACACTATATTATTTAACAAAAATAAAGTTGAAAATTTAAGAAAAAATTAATACCTCATAAATAAATGCAATTTATGACTTTAATATGAGCCTCCTTTCATTGGCGAACACATATGTCAAAGCGATTTTATGCTCTCAGTAAGACGGTTGATTACAATTTGGTGGGTCTAATCGATATAATCTTCAAATATCAAAGATGTGGTCTTCAGAGCTTTAATATATATATGAACAGAATTTTGCTGATTTTTTTTTTTCTTTTAAAGATGTCTCATAAATTTCTATAGTACGTAAATCAGGAAATTTGGTTACCTTGTTCATTCGCTTCATTGCCTTCAGGTTCAAAACATGATGATATTCAAGTCCTGAATGATAAAAATTAAAAACAAGGTTTGTTCGATGAGGACACGCGTTATTAATCAAAGAAAGTCAGATCTATATGTAACACACCTTTAAAATATCAAAGTGTGATTATAAGACTTTCTTCTTATATCTTTAATCAATCACCGATCGTTTATCGAACACATGTGTAGTAGTATTATCAGGACTACTATTCCTCCTTATCTACTTTGCGAACATGATGTCTCTTGAATGGGAACAGTGAGCTTACTGGAAGCTATGCTCTGCGGGAATTGTAAAATAGACGACTAAGATGCCAAGGGTTTAATTACCCTTTATTCTCCACGATATTACAGGCGCTCCCGCACTTCGGGATACAAAGACCAACCCACTTGTGGTCTGAACGTAAAAATACAAGAACTAGTAACTAACAAAATTTAAATAAGAGCTAAACTTCGAATACTTTAAACTGATGACTAACATTAAGGTTGGCCTTTTAGTTTATTTAGAACGCAAACTGCGAAAAACCACAATACGTTTTAAATATAGAGAGGACTAACCTTCTGGCTGCTCAAAGTTAAATAAATAGGCAAAATTAAATAGGCTGCTCAAAGTGTCACTATTTACGTAAGAATTCTCCAGTTAAAAGCAATTGAATGCTAGTATCACGATAGTAAATATCAAGATAGACAGTGTTTGGCCTTTTAAATCTTTAGTCTACATCAAAATCGTAATTTGGAAAGCAGCTAATTTCTCTGTATGGCGAGAAATTTTTGGAAATATAATACGGATTAAATGTATTTCAATTTAATACATAAGTTCAGTATGTTATTAAAAATAAAATAAAAATTTTAAGTATTAAGAAATGATTTAATTGCTTTTAAATCACTCAATATGTTAAGTAATTACAGATTGACTAAATTGAAAGATAAATTTAAAATCATATTATTAACCGTACAGCAATAAGAACTAACTACACTTGAGGCCACAAAAAAAGGTTGAAAAAAGACCCCGTGTTTCACGCAGCGGTAATGTTTGCCAAATGATGCAGATGGTATGGAAGAGTAATGTAGAGCAGAGGTTCTAAAATTTTGGAAAGTACTAAAAATATTCCAAGCATTAAAAATTCTTAAAAGACATTTCCCCAGATTCATAAATACAAACTTTAAACTGTTTTTCACGTGAAAAAAAAAGAATGCCTTTTATGCCATTGCCATTCTCAAAGCTGATGGAACACTGAAATGTCAACTGTGGCAGAGACACCAGATGCTGCTTTTACTTTAAGAGCTAAATATTATTTTGAATTTTCGTTGAATGTTTTTGTCAAGACTTATGCTGCTTAATTATCAATTAAAGTACAAGTTTTTGATGTTACTGATGAAGGAAAATTTCAGCTGCAAGTCTGGTGATGTGCATATGAGTAACATTTAAAATAAATTAATAAAAAGATATCCTTGAGAGTATAATTTTAAATAAATTAATGAAAAATATTCTTGAGAGAGGCATTTAAAATAAATTAACGGGAATTATTTAGTCTTGCACAGCATTTCACGCTTATCAGTAAGAAAATGTGCCTAAAAATATTGTATTACATGCATAAACATTTAGTTAATTAGTTAGTGTATTTAAACATATATATTCATTATAATCTCAAAATCTATAAATTCGATGTTTGTTAAACGTAAGTATTCAAAGCCGACATTCTGCTACGATAATGGAAAAAATATTCAAATTAAGCGATTGAAACTGATGTAAGATTTCTTTTCGAAAACTGTCATGAATAATAATAACAATAATTACAATTAAAAAAAATCTGAAATGATTCAGATTTTTTCGAAAGAACTCTTTAAAGTTTAATATCAGTAGAAATTATCAGTAAAGATGATCCAGGTGGAATAGCGAAACATTTTATACGATACTAAATGAATGCATATTATGGACTAACATGGGAACGTTATATATCTTCTGTATATTTAAAAAGTGAAAATATTTATAGCGTCATTCTTTAAAAGTATTTTATTTTTAGTTACTAGCGGAAATACCCGATGCCAGCTAAGTTAGATTGATGGTAACGTATGTAACAACAGAGAAAACGATACCGCTGTAATCCTTCTCTAATAACGATGCAAAAAATGCGATTCATAGTCACACATTTTTCAGTCTTAAGCTATATGGAACCCACATAAAAATTTCCACAGAAAAATAAACCAATTCTCTCTCATTATATCAGTAAGACGCCGTCTTTAATGATTTCCGTCTTTCTAATGAAATGGTCGTAAAAGCTTAAGTTCCATCCAGTATTTTACCTATATTCAATTTTAATCGATTAAATGTGGCAAAAAATTGATCATAATTGATCAGAAATCAATAATGCGAACAAACACATTTTTCTTTATATAGAGACATTTTGTAAAACTTACAAATTTTTGATTAATAGACTCTAGGATTTGAATGCAACACGTTTCGAAATAAAGCATTTTTATCTCCAACGCGCAAGACTGTTTGCCACTCGGAAAAATGAGTGCGAAAATTAGATAGTTTTTATTAATAATATCTTGGCTGATTAAAGTTGTACGGAGATGGGAACAGTCGAAATGGCTTCCCACGAATTTTTGGAATCGGGAATAATGTATTTAATGTTTAGCAATACTATTTTTATTTCATTGTAAAACTTGGAATTTTTTTTTTTTTTTTTTTTTTTTTTTTGTTAACAAACTCTACGATTTGAAAACCTGCAGCGGCAACACTTCTCGAAATAAAGCAGACTTTTTTTTTATCTCCAGCATACGAGACTGCTGCCACTCGGAAAACGGAGAGCGAAAATTAGCGTTTTCAGATTTTTTAATTAATATCTCTGATTTTAGCTATTCTTCTTCTTCTTCTTTTTTTTTTTTTTTTTTGTTTTTTTTGTTTGTTTGTTTGTAAAAAAGGGAACGTCGACCTTTCCCAGAACACAGAAAAGAATAGTAGACAGTTTGGTGATGTGTGAATGAGTTAATCGCGAACAAACACACAAACAGACATTCTTCTAGATAATGAATAAAATTCGCTTTTGTTTAAATGAATCAGATTGAAAAGTAAAAAATAATAGTCTTAAGAACTGCCATGATACCATAAAAAGCCTTATTTTGAAAAGAAAAATGTTTAAATCGCAATAGTAAATTTCATAAACTTATTTAGTTTTCAGAAGCTCTTACAAGGATTTTTTTCTTTTTCTCTTTCAACAGAAAAGAAGGCACAGCCGACCAAGTTCTCAACTGAGCAAAGAAGAAGATATACATAAAAATAATTTTATTTCTGAATATATATACTTTTTTCTTGGATTGTGATATTTATGTATGAATAAGGAAACAACAATGAATCAATAAAATATAACTTTCACGGTACTTTTGAAAAGAGATTTCTTTTTTTTAATTGTTATTATTATTCCTTCTCATTACTTTACATGTATATATATATCAGCAATATTTGAGGGAGAGAGGTTTATTAAAGGCAATTCTTGAGGTAACATCAACTACTTGACACAAAATCGGTCTGGTGAAGAAAACTTGTATGATACACCGGGATTTCTGCTTACTTCGGAACTGAAAATAACAAGATTGCTTATCATATCGCTCTGTATTTAATTTTTCATCTAGTTATTTTGTTAATACTGACATGGATAAAATGGTTGATAAATATTTTTAATCAATTTTAGTCAATTTTTTAAAAAACATAATGAATCATTTATTGTCAAAAATATACATACACTATTTTTTTTTTCATTTTACGTTCCACTAATGGACAAGATAGAGGATCAAAGAGAAAACATGATTTATCTAACTCAAAATCCGCTCGGAGAAAAGGATTTTTCCGAAACCAGGAGGAAGGATCTGTACAAGTCTCGAAAGATAGAACCTTGTGGACAGTGACATTTGCTTCACACACTACAGCTGGGAAACATGGAGCCCAAAATGTGCTAAAAGAAATGCTGGGTTCAACATCATATGCAAAAAGAAATATCGGGGGCAACGTATCGAGTGCTTGGAGGTTGTTTGTGAATGAATCAGTGTTACGCCATGTAAAAAAAAAAAAAAAAAAAAAAAAAAAAAAAAAATGCAAGGAAGCAGAGACAGTTTTGAACAATGAAGAAAGCTGGGGCAATATCTTTAAAAGAGCTTGATGGTTTTATTGCCATTATATATGCATTATATTGCATATGGTTGCAATGATATGGATTATGATTTTTTGTGGAATAATACATGGGGTCCTCCTTTTTTTCGAGAAATAAAGTCTCGCAATCGTTTTCAAGATATTGTGAAATATCTAAGGTTTGACTTGAAGACAATTATTGCTCAGCTTTAGAAAATGATAAACTTGTTCTTTCGCTTTAGACATTTGGAATAAATCTATACAGAACTGTTCTATAGGAAGCTAGGAGAAAATTTAATGGCGGATGAGTACTTATTTCCATCCAAAGCCAGGTTTAAGTTTATATAGTATATGCCGAATAAGCCAGATAAATTCAGTATCAGATTTTGGATGCTAAACGATGTAGATTCGAGGTTTATGAGCAATGCTTTTCCAGATTTTAGAAAAGATACACCGGGAAATGAAACTGAAAATGTAGTAATGCGACTTCTAAGCTCTCATCTGAATTCAGGTACAAATTTGACCGGAGACTTTTTTTTTTTTTTTTTTTTCCCCTCACGATCGTTAGCTAAGAGATTTGAAATGAAGAATGCAAGTTTTGAGGGCACAGTAAGAACACATCGAAAAGAGATTTCGCATGAAAAAGTCAAAAACCCGACTTTTTGTGACAGTTTTGCTAAAGAATGGTGAAAACTACCCTGACGGTCTATAAGGCTAAAAGGAATAAAAGTGTCCAACTACGCAGTAACTTACATCCGGGAGTGTAAATGTCGACTCACAAAATAAGAAGAAACTTCCAGAAACAGTATAATTTTATTACAGCACTAAATATGGAGTTGATATCGTTGACCATATGACGCACAAATATTTCGTTCGGGATGCTTCACCTAAATGGCCTGCGCATGCTTTCTATAATATGCTGGATTTAACAGGAACAATGCCTACGTTGCCTTAAAAAATTGAGTCGTAAAAATATTACAACAGCACAGCTTCCTTTTTCAATTAGTAGAGGAGTTAACGGAGCTTCATTTCAACAGAAAAAAAAGGCACAAGCTTGCCCCAGGAAATTACCCTTTGGCAATATACTCTCGAAGAAAAGACGTCAGTGCCAGATTGGACTTCGTAACAGCAAAACAAATCAAATGGTGTGTGTAAAAAATATTCGTGTTATGTGTGTGGAAAATGCACTTCCAGTATTGAAAAAGTTGTTTTTTGTGAAAATTGCGAACAGCTATATAATGGTAATTAGCTAAAAGAAAAAAAATAAATAAATAAAAAGTGGAGATTTATTTAAAAAAAAAAAAAACTATGAAAATAATCTGTTGTTCTTCGAAATTCTTAAACAGATATGATTAAGAATAGTTAAAAGTAAAGCATTTGCATTTTGATATATACATATATACATGTGGAAGCATATTCTTCGACTACTTCTACTTCTAGATCTAACCCAGCAACATGGACCTTATAAGAAATAGACTAACCCAGTGGGCGGGCCGCGCGTCACCGACATGTCGGCAAGAAAGAGTAGGGACGATCTGGTTTACTTTAACATTGAAACCTATGGCGTTTGTATCACATAACTCTTTTTAATTATTAAATGTGATACGTTGTATAGTGATGAGATTATGAAATCCACAGTTTTTTCCAAATAGGATTTAATATATCTCATTAAAGCACTTTTTTACTTTTTTTACTGCATTTCGCGCATTTTTTTCACGTTGTAATTCTTGTACAAACATCTTTACTTTGGTAAAACGGTAAAAACTCTAAGCACAAAATTTACGAACTTAATTTTGTGTAAAAATAAAGTAAAATTAAATAAGATTGATAGTACGTGACGCTTTGAAATAAATAAGGTAAAATTAAACAAGATCTGATAATTTTTTTTTTTTTTAATTTAATGAAAATTTTCAGGCAGTGATTTTCCAAACTATAATAACATTACAAATCGATCATATTTATTTGATATATGATCATTAAATTATTAACATTAAAGTGGATTAGTTATTTTAATAATTCATAAAATTCGGAGCATAAAATTTTCTAAGCGTAATGAAGGGGGAAGGAAGATAAAAGATAATAAATAGTGCTATAATACTCATCTATAATTTTAAAAAAGCAGCACAATTTAGAATTTTAAACAAAACTTTAAAAAATTCGTTTTTAAATATTTTAGTACTTTTACTTATTTACACCAATGAAAAGCATAAAAATTGCAAAAGAAAATTGTTTGTTTGAAATTTTCTATTAGTTCAGATTTAAAATATTATTTTCTAAAAGAAGTAGTTACAAATTTCCTTACAGCATAGGTAAAGCTAAAAAAATATCCAGCCCTGAAAGCACGCAATAGCTTTATAATTATTTGGAACGTTAATTATGCATGATAAATATGTTAAATTTTTAAAAATCAATCTCAATTTCAAAAATAAAAATATGTACAAATTCTAATTTGTGAAATGAGGCGCTACAACCAGCTTTTTCTTGACAATTATACAAGCTGCAATAGGCAACCAATGTTAAATTTCTGCAAGTCGTCCCTACTCCTCCGAATGTTATCAAGGTGACAGCCGGCAACGCGTCAGACGAGGAAGAAAACCCGTTTGGGTTAGTCTATTTCTTATAAGGTCCATGTCCAGCAAGGCGTGACGTCATCACAGCTTAGCGCAGCCTGCAGAGCGGCAGAAGACCGCTGGAAGTGCTGAGAACAAGAGGTGTTCTACGCCCAGAGCTTATATCGAGCTAGCTATATGAGGGCAGACGTGCCTGTAGAACTGTTAGAAACTGATAGTGTACGAGAATGATCATCGTTACATGAATCCTGTAGAACTGTTCGGAATTACGTTTATTGTGAGGTTACCTACCAGCTTATTCACTTTTACTTAATTTATCTTTTTATTTATTTTATTTCATTTTAGTAAAATAAAATACTTAGTTACGTTTAAGTCGTGCTCTACTGTGTTCTTATTGAAGATAATCTTACATACATATAATTAATTCACTGTGCAGTCAATCTGACTGTCGTTGGCCCTTCTAGGTAGGGAAAAAGCTCGGCGTTTCTAGTATTAATCAAGGATATTTATAAGAATTCTTTAAATGAACAAACACTTACTGAAATATGTGCATCATGACGACGATGATTTCGTTTATAAGATGCCGTCTAACTCATCTGAAGACTTGTTAGCAACCCTGTTAAGTCTGGCAGCAAAGTCTGCCAGACTTAACAGGGTTGCTGCAGAAAAATGTGAAATGCCAGGCATTTTCGTCAAAATGTGCATTCACTTCATTCTCACTGTAATGCATGCATTGCAGTTGGTGGTCATTCATCTGAACAACTCTGGTAAATATCCTTGATTAAGATGCTTCTTCGTTCCCGCATTCACATTTCACATTCCATCACACACTGTATTACTATTTTTGCAATATTCTGTCAGCTCTCTAAATTAAGACTATTAATTATCTTACAACCTACATATACACTACACAGACATACATTAGAAACATCTTTTTTTAATACGCACCAGTCTGCCAATGACGTATAGTGATGTAAGAAACAGGAACGTTTATATAAGGCAAGCTCATCTTGAAAAGAAAAAAAAAAAAAAAAAGAATAAGAGAAAGATCTGAATACATTTGAGCAAGATATGATTATGGGCGCCAGAAGACTTGGGTCCAACATCTTTAAACAAAAAACAAAACAACAACAACAACAACAACAAAAAAAAAAAAAAAAAGCTAACGTCGTAGGGTTTTCAACAGTTATAAGGTAGTTCTCCCGCCTTCTTCATGCCTTTGTGGTGTAATGGTCAGCACGCTCGCCGCGTATTCGAGAGGTCCGTGGTTCGAGTCCCGGCAAAGGGCATTGCTCATTTTTTACATATCCTGCTTCGAAATAACCTAATGACTCTACAGTGGCGCCCGAACTAAAAGGTGCTGAATGATAATTCTTCACCACCAGGATTTGGCGTTTGGGTCCTCCTGAAACTCCAGTCGCCCTTTAAAAGGGGCAGTATGTAAGGTATTTGTCCCACCTTCTTAGAATGCTTCGTGGTATAGTGGTTAGCACGCGCGACGCGTATTCGATACATCCGTGATTCGAGGCCCGGAGAGGGCATTGCTCATTTTTCACATCTCCTGCTTCGAAATAACCTAATGACTCTACACAGTATCTCGAGTGTTTAGAGAGTGCTCGTTGAGCAACAAAACTTTAAGCAGTTAAAGACAATTCTGTTCACAAAATACTGATAAATGAAAGACGTGAAAGTTTGGCGTCATAAACAGCCGCCACAGTAACAAATGGACTGCAACACAGCAAACTGCAACTCAATGTAATTCAAATACTTTGCAAAGCATATACGAACGCATAACACAAAGGACATAGCAAAATATATTTAATAACACGAAACCCTAAGGATGACTTTGTTATCACTCAAACACAGGAAATCATGGTTACAACGAAAATACGAGCAACCAATCGGACCCTCTGACGAGTGGAAAATATTGCTATGTCCTATGAACCTAGTTTCTTTTTCCATCATGCAGATGGCAGAATCAGAATGTAGCAAAAACAAAACAAATTCGTGGACCTAGCCCTAATGAAAACTCTTCGAGTTGGTTGCGGTAGAATTGTGGTTTGGAGAAATTTTTCCCGCAAGCCCATTAATATGTCTGGAAGCAGCACAGCTTATTTCCATATTGTTGCCGATCATATATATATATTTATGGTGTTCCCTAGTCAGGGGTTAATTTCTAAGATTAGAAGTGTCGGAGCTTTATGGAAGACCGTCAGCAAAGAGGAACAAGAGTAAATAAATAAATAAAATAACTATTAAACTCATTAATAATTTTTAAATTAAATAGTTAATTATTATCAAATTAATTAATAGCTATTTAATTAATGTTTATAAAATTGTTATTTAATCATATTATTATAATTATTATAATTTAATTGATAATTATTGGATAATTATTATCATTTTTTGAAATAATTAAATATTGAAGTAATTAAATAAAATGTAAAGAGATAATTGAAATTTAATAAGCGATTTTTAATATAATTTTATTGTTTAAAATAAAATTTTCGATATAAAATTTCTACTGCAATGTTTATTAATTACTAAAAGAAGTGCCGCAACCTTCTTATCAGGGCTCCGGTTGCGTTCCGGCAGAATTATGATTATTACAAAAATTAGAAGCACCGGAGCCGACATCCGGTGGGCTCCGGCCCAATTTAAGCTCTGATCGTAGGCGGGGGAGTTCCTTTATTATCACAAAAATTAAATATACTTATAGTATAGCTGATGAAAATTCCAGGACGAAACAGAATGAGGATGTGAGTGGGTGGAAACAAAAAATGAGGGGAATATTGGCGAGAGAGAACGTTCTCTTTGACCGCGGCTCTCTGCTGATATAATTATAGCCATCAAGCAGACGTGTGTCAGGGGTAAAATGAGTCCTAAATCTGACTTCTAAGGATGAATGTAAAGTTGCTGGTTACGCTTCCCCCATTAGTGGATAGTGTGTGAAGACGATGTATAGGATGTGCCTGAGCAGTCACCGGTGTAATCTCAGTATTTCACTCTTATTGTACTCGCTGTCACTTAATGCGCATTTAAGAACATAAATTTTCCTTCCTGCGAGGATAACTAATTGTAAGCATCAATAATGGTACACTAGATACGATGGTATCAGTGGCGTAGCTAGTGTGGGGCAAGGAGGGACATCTGTCCCCGGGCGCAGCATCCAGGGGGCGCGAAGCTGATGTTCAGAAATTTTAGAATGAAATGCTTTCCACTCTTGGCACACAGAAAAGGGCGCAAAATCTTCAATTGTCCCTGGGCGTTGAAAACCCTAGCTACGTCTCTGGATGGCGGAAAATTTACGAGTTCCTAAACAAACTCCCAAAAACTTATTACCTTTCTAAAGGGAAAGGTTTCCGCATGTGATTGACGAGACTTGAACGTCTCATGTTCTCATGAGTTCGTATTTCTAGGGAAATAGAGTATTGCAAGGTCTGCTTATTGTTAAACTAAAACGTTAGGAATTCTAATTTTTTTTCCTTTAAATTGTGGTTCAGTTTTATAAAATGAAGTACCGGAGCTCATCCTACTTAGGGCTCCGTTGCGCTCCGGCTAAAATTGTAATTTATCTTAAAAATTGAAAAGTAACGGAGCCGGGCTCCGGCGTAATTGAAGCACTGTCACTAGTGCAGGATGCTCACTTTCAGGAGGGCAACACATATTCTCACCGTGCATGTACGATCTCAATTTGCTTCAGAACCTGATTATTATTCAAATTGCTTCCACAATCAGCTCAGTCCTATGATTCAATCCTATTCAATATTTGTGGCATGACGTGGAAAGATCACTTCAAAGGTCACAAATATCGTCATTCAATTTGAATGAAATTAAACCCGCTATTAAATCATCAGGTATTAATATCACTCATGAGCAATGCCAGCACCTTGCTGAGTTCACGCCCAGAAAAGTATTAACTGTAAAAAAATCAAAGCTAAAAGTGTACCTGATACTGTGATACTACTGTACTGAGTCTGGGTATTTATGACCGGTGTAATACTTTTATAAAGTGCACGCTTACAAAAGCTAATAATTTAAAGCATCACAACACTGGATAGATGGCATCTTTGAACGAAATAGTCTGCCTCCAAAGTATAAACAGTACTCTTCAGACTGGAAGATACTAGAGTTATTAAATGTGCACTTACCTTTTGAGTCTTTGTTGATGACATCCACGTTTTTGAAACATAATTCTTCAACATGATTGCTATGAATAAAACTGCAGTCGTTATGGATCAAGGATTTCATATGACAGTTAATAAAAGGATGCCTCGTCAGTCTACATTCCCTCAGTTGGTTAAAAAAGGTCTATGTGGTACCTGTAGTTTGGCGATTCAATCTGGACGAAATGAAAGCCCCGCTTCTCGTCATCACTATGGACAAGAAAGATAATATTGAACATATTTAAAGTGTTTATGTTCATGAAACCATAAAGCCTAATTACCACAAGTAAATATAAAGTGAGTCGATATAAGGTTACTTTTTATTATGCAAGGCGACCAAAAACGCTTGTGAATCTAAATCCAGCCAGCACTCATTATTCTTAAGACAAAGAATTTCCTTGAATAAAGATAATTAGAACACATTATGATTCCCGCAAGAATAACAGCCTACCTCCAAAGTCTTCATATTGCGATAAAGAAGTCATTCAAAGGCAATATGAGCATGTGAACAATTAACTGCACTGAAATTAGGAGAGAAATCAGAGTGGAAATTTTGAAAGCCACAGTGTAAGAAGTCATGACTTGACTGAAGAATTTATGGGATAAAAATCACTGACAGCTAGCTTGCCAATTCACTACAAGCAGGCTACATGGATTACGAACGCTCTTTTAAAGATAGCTACAATGATAGATATGAGAGAATAGGCTCAGAAATTCAAGCTGCTAATACGAATTTAGACCTTTATGATGGTGTTCGAAAACAAGGCTGTGCCTGTGTAAACGTACCCTTGTTTATATACAAGGTAATTCAGAATTCATCATCAATATTTGGTAGGGAGGTAGGGAATAGGAAAAGGAGGAGATTTCACATAGGAAATTATGGGCGCAGATGAACGCATGGTGGTGTAGTGGGCGCTGTGTGTACACAACTTCCATACATAAGCACAGCTTCATGTCATGCCTGTTATTTTACTGCTGCTTTATCTTATGCCTAGAAAATTGCTTAATGCCATGCCGAGAGAGACAGACTTTTAGGTGTATGTTTTTCATATACTATTTGATTCAGTTTTAATGCCATGCTTATCACTGCATTCCTTTATGGAAATTAGACCTCAACTGCTTTGCTTATCTTTACAAGAACAGCAAGATGCCATGCTTATATGTGAAAATATATTCACTGAATATGCCTTCACTCATGCCTTATTGCTCAGGTAATTGTATGCTTTGCATTTCTTAATAATCACCTCCGGGTGTTGATGTTTTGGAATATCATCTACATTACAACCGCAATTGGCCACTGGCTCCAGTCAATCTACAAGTCGACTCCTAGTAGTCGATGCTTGTTGCAATCTTAGTTTATACAGTCGCCATTCGACTAGGTGACTTTGCAGAAGTAACATGAACCGGCATACGTGGAATGAACTTGCAGATATGCATGTAAATACCACGCATATTCCAGAAGGTCCGGTTATCCATGCATCGCCGTTATGAGTCATGCATTCTAGCACATGGTCAGCAGTTCGACCACCTCTTGTAAGTCTATAAAACCGATGCAAAGAAATGTTACATGTAAGATAATAAATGTTTTAGCCTTACTACTTCCTTTTTATGTCTTCTTTCCATCATTGAACTGGGGTCAGTTTGCCCTACTACTTCTGAATCATGCTGTATAAACAAATAATTGTAGATTTTTTTAATATAAAAATAAATGCAGTTTGCATGGAAAATAAGATATACCCTGAATATAAACCCTAACGCATCTTTTGGATCAAAAACTAAAGCAAGATCCAGTCTTATTTTCAAACACGTTTGCTGTCGCTAGCAATGATAAAGGTCTGAAACTGGCGGACCGCATACGGCCCCAGAAGCAATTTCATGCGACCTGCGAATACATTTCCCGAAAGTTAATTAGCATTATTATGACAATAATTTGAAGAAATGTTTTTGCTTTTAAGTCCTGTTTTACTTAAAAACTGATAACTACTGATAACTACTAGCCTCATGAATATGAGTTCCTGATGAATTACGTTGAAATGACAAGTGTGCTAAAGATGCTTCTTTGATGATTTTGATTGTTAATATTTTTTGTTGTATTTTAATTAAAAAATAAAGGTTTTACACCTTTAACTCCGCAGAACTAATATTCGTAATAGTCTGTGATATTACAATATAAATAAGCACGATAGGAAATTTGATTTCCATTTAACTTATTTGCACATTCCATAATAAATCACGTGGCTGATCAATTTTGGTCGATGATTCATTCCTCCACCAGCATGGTCTTAAAGCTCAACATCTCTTGGAAGAAAATTTAACAATGAACAGTCTTTCAAAGGTTCTCAACATTTCTCTATAGCTCCCAAATTCTAGTCAGTTGAACAGTTATTTGCTCAGTGGTTTCAATTCAAAAGATGCATAAACCAAGTTTTATTCAATGTAGATATGCTTTATCAGACATAAGAAGAAAGATCTACATGTATTTCTGAGGAGCCTTACATAAAATTGAAGGACTTCATCTTGATACTGCTGAACAGACATGAATCATCTATAGAGAAAGTATGCAGGAAAAAATATGTCCATTAATCATTATTGTTTTCCATAGTATCACATTTGGACTACTATACTGGTCTGCACCATTTAAAGTTCAAATAAGCAATCGGCAATCATCTATCAACTATGCAATTCTAAACTCAACTAATTAGCAGGCCCTTTCAATTGCGAGGGATAATTAAGAACGGGAACTGATCTTGAAAAACAACCATTTTTCTTCTATAATCTTATTCCTGCTTTTCAGCAAGAGTTTGTCATTAAGCTGCTTACTGAAAGCAGAGAATGGTCTGAAACAGTGACATTTTGCTACGTCTGCTAATTGTCTCTGCTGCTTCTTATGAGTGAAAAATTTTTAATCTCTTTCAAATAACGGCACTACTTAAAACTAATTGCACTCAATAAGGTTCAAATTCTTAATAACAGAAGTTTATTTGGAAATGAACTCTGCATAAGACATCATACCATTGTATTTCAAATACAGACTAATCAGACTAGATGGGATAGTGATAATTATTTTTATTACTTAACTTATTTTATATATGCCAACCTCTGAGAAGGGCTATCAGTAATACTGAACTGATGATGATCATGACATTCAAACATTCCCCACACTAAGAAGGAATACAACAGTATGAACAGAAAAAAGGTATATTACTTACATGGGCAAGAAAGATTTAAAAAAAAAAAAAAATAAGATGCTTTTTTCCATGTACTGATCCTAGATGGAATCTAAAAGTAATAAGCAGCAAGCATTCATATATTTTACGAATTTATGTAGTTACACGCATAGCTTCATACAATTTGTAGAGAAATTTTATGCTGTAAACTGTTTTGAAGTAAATAATACAACCAAGTACAAAACTATTCAAGTCTGTGAACTGACACGAGGCATTCTGAGCAGCTGTGTGAAAAAAGTGACAGAAACATCCTTGTAGAGGTGTTGAAGACTGAAAATGTTGTTTAATGAAAGACACAGTATCTTTTATATTGTCTTCCATGGTGTTTGCATTATCAGAAGCAAAAAATGGCCCAAATTTCCTATAGTACATAATTTTGAGCAAAATTGTTCCAAGACATTTACTTTCCCATGAATTCTAAAAAGTATAATAAGCATATTCAGCCTTGACTACTATTGTAGAATGAAACAAAAGTGGAATACAATTTTATAGCACTTGTATTGTAATCCGTATGTAGTTAATTCAAACAGTGTATTATGCAATACATGCATGTATCATAGCTGCCAACCATGAAATCTTAAAAACTGGGAGGTTTCCATACAGCATGACATTATTTGATAGGAACTTATAACTTCAGTTTATAAAGCAAGGTTCAGATTATTGAACTACTTTAAATTCACTTCTGATCATACATTTAATTAGCCATTATACCTTTAAATACAATTAAAATAAAATTTATGATTAATGTACATAGTATTTGTGTGGATAAACTTATTTATGTACCATATATTGAAGTAAACAAAATTAAATACAAATATTAACTGATTAAACATGCTTGAATCTTCATATAAAAATCTATACATGTCTAGAGTATATCAAGACAACTCAGTTCAAATGAAATTTAATAAGAAAAAATTACAATTTTGAAGAAATAAAACTTAATAAAAAAATTATGAAAAATAAAAGGTAGGAGAACGGAATTTTCCCAATTTAAGTTTCCTTAATTCAATAAATTTCATTTATTGCTGAGAAGCATTTTCTTTAGTAAAGGATAAACATTAAAAACTTGCAATATTTACCATTCCATGAAAATTAAATTAGAATGATTGATTACTTCACGATACAAAATTACACTTGAGTTAAAATATTGAAGAGTTAAGTAAACATATGCCCAAAGAGTAACATTATGTGGAATTATCACTCATTAACAAAATACGCAGATAAATTTCTGACTCTTATGCTTAAATTACTCACGCATTTGTGCGTAAATGTAGATTATATATTCTTATCCTAAATCATACAATTATAGCTTACCATCACAACATATCAGAAGTTCAAAAATGTTTTTTAATAAACCATTTTAATAAATCATTAAAAATGTTTAATAAATTATGAAATAATGCGATACTGATATGTTTTTTCTTTAGCAAACCTCTCGCAATTACCACTTAAGCAATTTAAGATTCCCTGAAATGATTCCTCAGTATCTCACGATTAATACCGAGCCTTGGTTTAAATTATACATTTTAAAAGGCACAACAGTATGAAATTCAAAGCTTTTGCTTCATGCAGACTTTAAAATTGTGTTTGACATTATTTAAATTATCGGGTCCTTTAGATTTTATCACAACTAGATTTCTCATAAAAATTATATTCTTCAGTACATACACAAATATAAGGTAAATTAAAATATTCTTCATTTTACAAATACATTTGAAATGTAATGTTTTCAAAATTAAGGGGAAAACTGAATATTTTAAGTGTGAAAAAACTTAACACTCATTTTAAAATGAAGATAATTTATTAAACTATTAAAATTCTAAATAGAAATTTACATTTATTGCTAGGCAGTGATACAAAACCTAGAAATTTATGAAGTGAACTTCATTTCATTTGTACATTTCCAGAGCAATTTTACTTTACATCAAATACTATCTACATGCATTACAATAAATACCATACTTGTCAGAATTAAAACCATAA